CCTTGTTCCAAAGACCGTATAATAATGAAGACAAACGCGGCCTTCGCGATCAGGTTTCAAACGACCCGGATCCGACGCGAAACTCCCGAAACCTTTTTAAGATTGAAATCCAGGGTAGTTTTATTCGGTCGTAAATAACCGAAAGTTCCCGATCACAATTTGCAGTATATTAAAGATGTTTACACACGGAGCAAACAGCCGTAACGCGCGGCGCCGCGAGATTGGACAATGTAAGAGTCGGGAAACCCATCCGAACGGGAAGCTTTTCCATTAATGCGTCCCCACAAATCATTTTCGTCGGCCCCACCCGACCCCCGCCAGCGCACCGGGAGCTTATTAAAAGTTCCTCCGCGGAAAGTGATTCTTAGTATAAGGAGGCGTCGCGGCGCGTTGCCTTCCATCCCTTCCCCAGGTGTCGCAGCACTTTTTCTTTTCTAAATGTTAAGATTTAAGACTAGACAATTTAAAAAATAATGCGCTGAAGAAATATTAAATTATACTTGGGAATTATACAAAAATATATAATTACACTTGATAACGGGTAGTGATACAACTGTCCGAAACGTTATGTAAGTTAAATAAAAATAAAAATAAATAAAGACAATGGAAGTTCGACGTCCTTTTAGTATTTCTATTAAATTATAAATTGAATATGTTATTTACAAATCTTTTGGATTCCTGCTGCGTTGGTTGTTCATAAATCAAACGCTTTTTCAGAGCTTGACTGGATAATAATAAATAAAGGCGAGGCTCCTACAGCTTCTGCCGCAGCCCGCATTTCTCTCCAGTCCTCTTCATTTATTCCCCGGTCCCTTAGAGTTATCATAAGTCCATCAGCCCATGTGGTAGCTGCTCTGTCTCGTTTCTTCTTTTTTGGTGAGTATATTCAAAAGCTTTTCTGGGCCATCCATTTTCCTCCATTCGTCTAATATGTCCAGTTGTTTGGTTTCAATTCATTTAGTTGTTCTGTGTATTCGATTTGTACGGCGTCTAATCTCGTCATACAGCATCTATTTTCCTCCTCGTTGGTTCCTTGAGCTGCCAACATTCTGATCCGTATGTCATTATTGAGTCTACGAGTGCTCTGTATATTGTGAATTTCGTTTTTATAGATATTTCATTGGACCAAAGAAAACGATTCAAAACTCTTACACTCCTCTGTCATTGTTGTATTCTGAGTTGTATGTCTTGTACAGAGGAGCCTTTGTTAGATATTAGTAAGATCACGTCGAGTGGACCCCCCGTATATCTACTAACTAACCCATCGGCCAGAGACATGCAGTCTGCAGTCTGCAAAGTCATCATGGTGATAAACAGGCAGTTTAGGGTTAAGCGCATACGAATCCATACTCTTCCTCTAAGAAAAATTTTTCATCGGCACCACCAACAGCGTCGACGTTCGGAAAGAGATGTCCATTTACACACGATCTGCGATAGAGCACGTCCGAAACGCAACCCGCATCTCAAAATTTCTCTCCATCACGTACGACTTTCTTCGTAGCAGAAGAAAACAGGACTTAGTTAAAAAACAATTACCCCACCGAAACCGAGTTGCCGATTGCTGATTGGTTCCCGATTAGACGGACCCCGTTATTCGGGAATTCGACACGTCGATTTCCCAATTCCGTCCGTACGCGGACGTCCTCCCGGGAACGTATCCCGAAATATATCCGGGAATCTGCAGCTAGTCCCCACGGACCGTATGAGACCCTTAATAGTTTTTTTTTCAGTCCGACGCCTTTAACTTTATATGGCGGGCACGGTACGTAAGGAAGGGGGGCGAGATGGACAGGGCTTGATTGGAACCGGGAACAAAGACCTAGGAGGGGGCTCTACGGGGCACCGTCCTCCGAAATTCGTCCATTTTTTTTGTAAAAAAACACAATTTTCTCATTTTCTCAGCATGAACAAAGTCAAAAATGCACAATTCTATATATATATTATATTGCGCCTTTTCAGATTTAATTAAATTAATTAAGACACAAGTATCTTCTCCTTTCCATTTTAATTAAATCCTTTGATAAAATTCATTAAATTAATTAATGGATAGGTGTGCGTATACTGGCTTTTTTAAAATCCAATTAAATTAATTGATACACAGGTATGCGTATTATATCATTGATACAATTAATTAACAATTAACAATTAATTGATTATAATATATTAATGTACAGGGTTATTCGTTATATTTGGATAACCATCCTACAGAGTTAATTTTGAAATATAGAAAAAAAAGTGTAAATATTAAAGTTCTGCTCTATTATGCAAATGCCAGAACGAACCATGGCCATGGCAAGCTGTCAAAATGACAGCAACATCATTTTTAAAAAATGGAATACTCTATATATTATTAGCTTAAAACGTAGATTTTTTGTTCTTGATTTCAAAAACATATAGTTTATTGACATTTCATTTAGCCGTTTTTGAAATTTCAGTATAAAAATAATTATTAATTAATTAATTTCAGTATAAAAATAATTATTACTTAATCAAATGGTGAAGTCTGCCTTGATAGCAACCATATTATGTTACGTTTGCAATTGTTTTAACAATTTGAAACCTAATCAACTAATCAACTATCAAATCTAAGCGTAAGTTAAATAACTTAAAGTATTTCAAATAGGTTATATTATTGCTCATTGGATTGTCACTGCTTGCATTTTGTATGGTGCACCAAAAATGTTTATTCTTCTTATTAAATACACCTGCTGGTATGAATGTACTCTCATCCGTAAACATTATTTTGTTTAGAAAATTTCCATCTTCTTGAGATCTTGAGATACAATTCAGTGCAAAATTCGAGCCTCTGCCTTTTATGTTCATCGGTTCAATTTTACACTGGAAGGAACTTATACGGGTGAAACTTATGATATGATATGTTAGGGTTGGTTGACTTTTACTATAGGACTTTCCGAAACGAATACGAGGCAGATATAAGTGGTTACGATCACTGTTGAAGAGGTGGAAGCAAAACTAAAGAAATTGAAAAACAGAAAATTAGCCGGACCGGACGGCATCCCCAACGAGCTTTTAAAATAAGGAGGCCTCGAACTCGCAAGGAGACTAACGCAACTATTCGACAAAATCTTAAACAAAACGGAAACACCAGACGAATGGCATAATAGCATCACCTTCATGAAAGGACTAAAAACATGCCCAGAAAACTATAGAGGAATAACTCTCTTGAATACGGCAATGAAACTCTTCACGAGTATTCTCAAGGACAAACTGGAGGTACAAATTAAGAATGCTGAAGAACAATAGGGCTTCACAAAGGAACGGTCAACAACAGACGCAATGTTCATAATAAAACAAATAAAAGAAACGGCCACACAGTACAACATGCCAGCGTATATCTGCTTCATTGACCTAACAAAGGCATTTGATAGGGTCCGATTGGGAGACATTTTACAGATATTAACGGAAAATAAAGCACCAGCAAACATAACGAAGATAATACACAACCTAAATAACAATAACGTAACAAGGTCAGCACCGGGAGGAATCAGACAGGGCGACAGTCTAAGCCCCCTTTTGTTTAATCTCCTCATGGACCAAATTATAAACAAAGTAACAGGTCTCAACCTCGGATACGGACTGGGCAACAAAAGAGTTGGAATGGTGTGCTACGCCGATGATGCAGCAATCATGGCCGATCTACCGAGACCACTATTCCAGTGCCTCCTACAAAGCCGCCAACTCAATATGAACATTTCTATCAGCAAGACCAAATGTATCTCAATCGCGAAGGATCCGTTCAGATGTAAGCTGGTGGTGGAGGACAAACCCATAGAACAAGTGATGCAATTCAGATATTTGGGCATAGATATATCAAGCACCCACGACCCAGTTAAAGACATAAGGGGCCAGATTAACAAAGCATCCGCACTATCAGGATGCCTACGAGATATAGTCTGGTCCAATCACGCAAGGATAGCAAAATTAGAATCTACAAGACTTGTATCAGACCCATCATGACGTACGGCACGGAAGTCAGCGAAGACACCAACAAGACGAAACAAATGCTAAGGGTAGCAGAGATGAAAACACTGAGGACAATAATGGGGAAAACAAGAAGAGACAGAGTAAGAAACACAGATGTCAGAGAGCAGTGCGGGATACAAGATATGGTGAGATGGGGAAGACAACGTAAGAGGTAGTGATACAACCATGTAAAACGGATGGACGAGAACAGACTTCCGAGAATAGTCCTGGAAAACAACCCTCCTCCCGGGAGACCACCTGAAAGTTGGAAAGATAGTTGGCAATCCACATCACAGGAAAAGATGCAGAGGGAGCTTCAGAATTAACAGATCGACAGATCTCCAAGAAGCAGAAGAAGAAGATGATGACTTTCCGGATAATTCTTTAACGTCAGATATAGAATATTCAGGATTTTATAAAAAATAAGAAATATCAAAATTAAGAAAGTAGAACTCAGAATCATGATATCAAGTGTCACAGTGTAACAGTATAATTTGCCTTGAAATTAAATTAATATATTGAGGTCTTCATCAAAATTTCTTTCTGTTATCCTGATCTTTCGTGTAACACCATTTCGGTCCTCAAAGTGTTTAATTGTCTTTTTAATTGTATTTATTGAAGGAACTCTTCTACCCGGATATATTTGTCGATATTCTCTATTTATATTATCCAGAAATCGAATATCAAATATCAATAAACCATTTTTTTTTAAATTAGGATAAAAAGATCTACGAATTAAGCTAAATAATATATAAGACGATCCATTTTAAAAAAATCGGCGTTTTTTGTTTTCTAACATTTGCGTAAGTTTTCAAACTTTTGTATTTACATTTTAAACAAAATTAACCCTGCAGATGGTCAAAATATAAGAACGTATTTTGACTATGTTGCCATATAAGATATTATCTTTAATAGAACAACAATCTTCCTGTGGATTAAAAATTAAAATTAAAATCTAGTTTTCCGGGACAGAATGCGTGGAAGATGGAAAATCAAAAGCCTACGGATTTTGACAGTTTTATTTATTTAAGCTACGTAATAGATTATTTACAACGGCCAACATATAATAAATTATTGGAAAAAATTTGAATTTCATATACAACATGGAATCGAATAAAATTTTATCACAAATAGGTAGTTTATTTAGTAAACATCCATATACATTTTTTTAGGTCTAATATCGATCGCTACGAGCGTTCAGACGCGGCGCAACGCGTCTGAACGCGTCCCTTTCCTTAACCAAAAATCAACGGGAACGCAAGTCGGAAAAAGCCAGTCGAATAAATCATTTTATAAATACGAAATATAAAATTCATCTTCATCTTCCTTTTTTTTCACTAATATGTACAAGTAACATTTTCATTCGCCATTCAGTGCTCACAATTTCCAATAAAAACTATTCATTTACGTATATTACGGTGATTTTGGTTGTCGTTGGAACGGGTCACGATTCGCCTAGAAGTTTTAACGCGACGAGAGTTCTGACGTTGTTGCCAGATTTAACGAAATATTTTCGAAAATAGTGAATCTTGATCAGGCCCTGATTTAATCTGAATTTTGGGCGTTTTCGATCCTCCCTGGCCGATAAAAACTTCCAGCTTATCGGTCCCGATGGACCCTCTGGATATAACAAAAAAGCGTACGTCGAAACACCGTTTTACCAACTTAGAGACAGAGAAGACATTTATTTAGTTATTGATGTGATGCCGGGTTTCTCGTTCCTTGTTTCGCCGTTAAAACGCGCCACCACCTGCAACAAACAAAAGGCGACGTTTTAGAAGCAATTTTTGCGGGTTTTTCGAAAATAATACCGCGCTCCGTCGTCGACGCAAACTTGGCCCTCAATTAAAACGTTATTAATTAGCAAATAATGGATTCCCGTTGTTCCGGGCTGGGGGTCGCATCGACTCTTGTAATTTCTATATTACATCGGTTTAATTAAATTTTGTTTGATTATTTCATAAATATTGAACGGGGGGCTTTTTGCTCGAAATATCAGGAATAACTACAATAGCCGAGCTAATATTAATTAATTACTTGTGCAAAACAATAACATTGGGTACAAACGCGGGTTTTAAAGTTTAACCCCAAAGCTGCCACCAACGCCAATAGCCGCGCTACACAGAGTCGATATAAGATGGCCCAGCAGGTCCAACGGGTATTTAGCTTGACCTGTTTGAAATAATAGACTGTAAAATTATATTACATTTTCATATTACTAAGCATAAAAAATCTATCTTATCTCACATGTTTTCTAAAATTAATTTTTGGTTTCTCGGGCATTTTATGCATTTTTTAGAATATCTATTACGTAATTTATTTTCAATTTCCGGCAACAAAACGGCTAATAATTAAATAAAAAAGCCTTTATTTTTCACTCGACAGCTGAGCTGTTAACTTAACAGAGCATGTAAGAAAAAGTTCCATTAATCAACTTACAATAAAGCAAATTTTACAACAAATACTATAAATAAATAAGCAAATGAGCTAATATTGATTAATACCTTTTGAAATACAATTTTTTTGGGTATAAACGCGGGTTTTGAAGTTTAACCCCAAACCTGCCACCAATGTCGATAGCCGCGCGACGCAGAATCGACATAAGATGGCTCCAATCGGCCATCCTAAAGGAGCATTAGCATGATATTACATTTTTTTAAAATGAAATTTTCTAAATCTGATTTTTATTTTTCAGACATTTTATGGTTTTTTGAAAAATATCAATTATGCAATTTATTTTCGAGTTGGACAACGCCACTGGATTCAAAATCGTTAATTTTGATGTCGTGGTGTTTAAATCGATTTTTAACGTAGTTCGAAGAAATATTAAAAAAATCATCATCAAATAAAATAGAGAATAACTTTTCTGGGTGACATTACAGATGGGCCAATAATTGTGATAAAAATCTGAGTCGTGTCAGCTTTTTTCCAATATTGCTATCGTTTTTTTTTTTATAAAAAAAATAATTGAATTGCGCCAAGTAATATTATTTAATTGCTTTTGTATATCAATAATATTGGTTATAAACGCAGGTGTTGACATTTAACCCCAAAGCTGCCACCAAGTAGGTCCAATACGTAAATATTTGGTAAATAAATGGACTGTAAAATTATATTACATTTACTCGGGCATTTTATGCATGTTTTAGAATATCTATTACGTAATTTATTTTCGATTTCCGGCAACAACACGGCAAATAATGAAATAAGTAAAAATGCCTTTATTTTTCAGTCGGCGAAGGGCAGCTAAGCTGTTAACTTTATCGAGCATGTAAAAAAAATCCATAAATCAGCTTACAATGAGGCAAATTTCACAACAAATATTATAAATAAATAAGTTAATGACCTAATATTAATTAAATACTTTTAACCCCAAACCTGCCATTAATGTCAATGGCTGCGCGACGCAGAGTCGACATAAGATGACCCAAATTGACAATAGGTAATGATTTTAGGTAAATAGCTTGACTAATAGAGCAAATGATATTACGTTTTTTTACAATATGTATTAGGCAATTAACTTACGAATTCTGGATATGAAAGTCAATGGAAAAAAATTAATAGCTCTGGGTACATTTATATAATTTTCTAATGAAATGGGGGGGTATTATTTTTGGGTAACATTACAGGTGGGCCAATAATTGTGACACAAATCTGACTAGTCGTATAAACTCTTTTTCAAATATAGGTAATTCTTTTATTTGTAAAAAAAAACGTTGAATTTCGCGAAATACTCGAAATGCTATGAATAATGCTAATTAAATTTGCAAAACAAATAATATTTGGTACAAAAGTGATTTTGATAACTTTTGATTTTAGATTTAAAATTGGGAAGAAATCACAAACATAGTTGAGCTACTTGAAACCAATTCGTTGCAGTGTGAACAAAATTTTCTTGGATAACCAGACAAAATGGTTTTCAAATTCAACCCTAACAACTTACTCCCCTTTCCCCAGGAAAAAAAAATGGAAGATTTTTTTTTGAAATATATTTGCAAGAAAGTTTTAACAGATTTAATATAATGAATCAAAAGATCTATAAAACCATGATAGATTAAAACTATTTAAAAAGCTAACCTACCAAGGACATCAGTACGAACTATAGTTGGTATTGGTGATGGTATATATTTTCTTAATTATTTTTATTTAATTTTTTAATAAAATGGAGAGTACCTTTTCTGCGTGGCATTACATTGAAACAATTTACTTTGCAATTAAGCAGCTGGGTCCCTAACCCCAAAGATGCCACCGATTTTGTCGTCCCCGCGTGGCAAAATCGACGTAAGATGGCCGTCGTGTAGTCAATAATATACGCGACAATAAATCAACAATACACGAGCGGCTATATATTTTTTTTGTCGAATGCTCGTTAATTCTATAGCGTCCAAATAAATAAATAAATAAAATGCCCGCGCGTTGTGATTATTTTTTTATTCGAATTGCCTCGCGTGTTTACCCATACATAAAAACCGAATTTCGACGTAACATATTTATGGTTTAAACAGAATAAATAAAACCATAACGATTTTCGTACGCTCGATGATATATTACGCTGACAATAACAATTTGTTTCACTTGAAAAAAATGGGAGGGGGGGGGATTCGGGAGCACATGATTTCATAATTTAATTAAATTAATTAATGTATTTCTTAAAAGATTAAGCATTGAGGGCATTTAATTAAAATAAAATTTTGCATTATTTAATCACAACTTTAATTAAATATGCTTATTAAAATATTGTAATAATTTGTACAGTTTAGAAACTAAGATTTAGGATCCGGCGGGGAAAGCATAACGAACATACGGTCCCTAAATCGCCAGTGGCGCAGGTTCGGACGATATATGCCGGCGTTTATTCCCGTGGGATTAAATCAAACCGAACAGATACGCGGCTGGATCGATACGAGGCAAATTCCTCAGAGAGGTGTGTGCAATTAATTATTAAACATTCTTTATGTATCCGTGGCTTCCACTTATAGCCGTAAACCTCCGAATACCTCAAATATTAACCCAAGTTTGCGCGAAACTGCGAATTCGAGGCCCTTTATTTTTTGTTGAGGTCCGCCCATTAATGTAACGATAATCATCGTTACATTAATAAAAAAAAAGAATTTTAATTTCCTTTAGAAATCGTTTTTTAGATATATAGACGAGGTCCGAACTTCCTTATTTTACATGAAAAAGTTACGTTCCCATTTAATTTCCAAAATTTTGAATCTCACAAACTAAATAAAAACATATGCTTTTCATTTAGAATAGAAAAATAGAAATACTATAAAGAATAATAACATATATATAATTTACAGTTTCATTTCAAAGAAGAAATTTATTTTATTCTTTTGAATTATTGAGTGTGAGGCAGCTTCGCAAAGTATTTTTTGTAAATTTTGAACTTCCGTATAAAGTTTTTCAAATTTTTTGAGGCGTTTGTTTGGCACGACTGCCATCCATCCATCGATTTTTTTTCTGGATATGTGACGTGTAATAAATATAACGAAACTTTGCTGAATTCAGGACAACAGCTAATAGGTTTTTCTTTGTTGAAACCATACTTTGTTTTCTAAATTTTTTTTTAGTTCCTCCAATAATCAAATTTCAAAACTGTAAGGTATTAAAACAAAGAACGGAAAATGTCAATGAAATAAATAAGAGCAATAATAACGTATACAATGTACAGTTTTATTTGTGTATTATAATTTGGTCAGATACAGGTTCAATGGAAAGTTTTAGTGAATTTCTGTATAAATTTTTTTGGGGTTAAGGTGAGTGTCATGTGTACTTCTTTTTTAAATGTCAACGTCCTGCCACTGCCTCAACCGCAAGTAGCGGTCAACTTGCTTATTCCAAATGGAACACCCCCGTTTATTATTACATTTTGAGTTTTTTTGTGAAATTCTAAACGTATTTTATGTATAATTTCCAACAACTATATCTAACCGTTTTCGAAATATTTGACGTAGAAAATTTGCACCTTCGGCTTTAAACATGCATATTTTTGTAATTTCTGAAAATTTGGTCCCCATACTTGGCATTATATACTTACACTTGGAATTTGAGTAATTCTTTACGTTATAGTATTGTACATTAATATCTCCTTTACACCAACTGAAACAGCAGCTGCCCAAGAAAGTTTAAATGAAGATATAAAATGCCTAGTCGTATTTTCCGAGAGTCAGGATTAAATGGAGCAAATTTATTGGTTATGGCGAACTACACTTGACAATACAACTAGAGAAAACACAACAGAATCTACAATAATCACCCGAATCGTAAAAATCTATATTATAATGCTAAAGTAAACTGAGCCGTTGCTAGATCATTGTTCATCGCTTTAAAGAGTGGATTTCTAACCAAACAATTTGTGGAAGGAGTTGGAAGGTGGAATATTGGAGATGTTCTGATTGCACGCGTAGGAACGTGAAAACAATTCAGAGCAGTCTATAATAGATGTACATAATTTAAATAAAAATTTAAATTATTAGCATTCCGAAATATGAATCCTAACATTTTCAGCACAATGTTACAAGTTTGATTTGATATGGCCAGCAAACGAAACTCCCAAATCTTTGGAACCATCACTTCGTTTTAATTTTATATTGTTTCGAAAATAACCAAAAACCAATACGGCCAACCCTGTTCGAAAAACTAACAGAAAAACATTTGTGAATATTCAGTGGCAATCTGTTGAGTTCACACCGAGAGTCAACAATTTGAAGATCCGTCTAAATAAGGTCACAGTCATCTTGATTG